CCAATTTTTATATCTTTTGTTCAGTTTGATCTACATATCAGCCACATTGGAAAATAAGCTGCATCCTTTCTTACAATATGGTAACCATTATTTGTTGACAACGGAGGGCAATTTATCAAGATCTTCAGTAAAACATTTAATAAAGTTTGCAATGAATGATGCACAAATAATCCTTCATTCTATTGATTCATTTTAGAAAATTATTCTGATCATTAAAAATACATAAATATCAAATATCCCACTCCTCTGATGCCGTCAAAGATTGTCTATGCACAGATATAGGGACTGACATTACATACAGTTTACTAAACAATCTCTCCATTGGTGTCTGTACTGTTAAACATCAACCAAGGCCCCTGCAATCTGACAAAGCTCTCATTAAAGTCTATAATATTTCTTGTAAGTTACATGAAGCCATTCATATTGTAAACAAGCATGGCGGCGGTTCTAGCAGTTTACTTATCACCGGATGACCTATCGATCCCAGGATGCAATAGGCAAAACGTTCACCATGCCTCCTTGTAATCATTCTGAAGTAACTACGAAAGTCAAGAATATATCATTATGAGACATATCATTCTGTACATGATTACAAGTGACGGTCTTACATGATCTGTTTCAGTCACAAATGCATGGGTGGACAGGTACTCGTAAAAAAGGCAGTATTGTCTCTTAATATGCTAGAAAATTCATTTTTTAATTTTGCTGATTTTTTTTGTCCACAATTTGTTGGTTGGTTAAAGGCTTCCTGTCTCCATGACTCCTATCTCTAGGCATTGTCTTATCGATGAATGTCAGTGTTCTGGTGACGTGTCGTCCACATATAACCCACATCGGTATATAATACCAAATACCCAACCCACCAGGAAAAAGTTGCCGTTTATAATCCAGAAAACCGGGTATAAGCAATACTTTTGCCAATATACACAAAACTTATTATTGACTTGTATTTTAACTATAAAACACTGATTATCTAATAGTAAATATATTTTATAACATAGGACTGTTCTTCTTCAAAATTTCAATATCGGATAAAAATCCCTATTGTTATTGTTACAGGGCTCGAAATTAGCGGTAGTCCGGTGGCCTGTGGCCACTCAATTATGAGTGGGGCTAGTAAAATTCCAATCTGTGCTGGCCCGATTGGCCACTAAATTTTTGTAAAACCCTATCTTAATCTACCAAACAAAACCATTTCAAATCTTTACTCCGTGTTTTGACTTGAGAACAGCTGTTTCGTCACCGGCCTATATTTATCTTGTAATGACATTTCTACCTAGAGGGTCACTAAAAATAAGATGGGGCCACTAGATTTTGTATGTGCACTGGCCCTATGGACCACCTAGAAATTAACATTAATTTCAAGCCCTGTGTTATGTATTCTGACATTTGTGTACTTCGTAGAGATCTTGTTATCACTTTATCTCCAGAATGAACAAAGACACTTCATCATTAATTCAGCACAGGACATAGGACTTTAGAATTTGAATGTAACATAGTAAACACACTTAACTATAGAACCATGAGTGACATCTTGTTAAAAGTATTGTATCTATTTGCAATAACTATTGCCTACATTCCTGTCAATTTATTTACTTAAGACTTCATTTCACAACAATGGGCTTCCATACATTTGTAACAATACACTCCACTTCTTTTTAACCACATTTATATTTAATCGGGAAAATCTCCCACTGAGAGAAATAAATCTGAAGGGTCAAGAAAATAACAGCCAATCAATCACCAGGAACCACAAAATGCTATATTTACCAAACCTTACATGGTATAATTTCCTCATCACTGTGGAAATGTGACCCAGTGTGATTACTTGGCCTAGTCAGAGGAAAATGAACGGTCACCTCCAAGATTAGTTTTTAACAGATATGTGTCCACATACTGGCTATGATGGAGCAAACTAAACACTCCATTCATGCCAATAAGAACCAGCCATTATCTTCATACCCAAACCGTCAGCCCTTGAAATTGGAGACAAAAATAATATTATCTGTAAGGAGATTCAACTGCCCCCCTAACAGAAATAAAGATTGACCTCAGGGTTGCACTTGACCCCAAGGTTATCTTAACAGTCAAGTAATGATCAGTTGTGGACACTACTGATCTGCAGTAGTCAAATTCACAGCTTTATTGAAACAGACACAGTATGTTTTCAGGAGAAAGTAACCTGTAGATGAACCTTTCCATCACTTTTCTGTTCAGGGAGAATTTATCAATTACATTAGCTCTGTTGTACAGAGGGGAACATTTAATGAACCAATACTTTTAGGCCATGTATCAGTGGATTCTATAATAAACTGATACTTAACTGGAAGTGAAGATATATCTTAGTGAAATCGATTACACGCCATTACCATAATTCAGTGAATCTTTTCTCGATAGATCTACATTGGATGTCAGTTTATTTAACAGATTTTTTTTCTATGCTTCTTGGCTAGTCTTTGTATCTATGTATACTTTGTTCTGTTTTTATGGATGTCCATACTATTTCATTTGTTATGATTATGTCGTAATAGCTCTTTTGAGTCTAGATCCCAGCAATGTCACGTACCAAGAATGCCTGTGATTCCAGCTTCATAGGACGAAGGGAAGTAACTCTTTCATATGCCTGTACTCGAGATGACTTAAAATGTTGGCGATTTTCATGAACAAATTAAAATGATAGGCGCTACCGTCTCAGTTTTAATGTATAGTTTCGGTTTTGTGATGTTTGAGAAAACTTGGTTATCAACACAATCAGAAACACTTATCTCCGTTTGGACAACGAATGCAGATCAGATGACAACTCTACAATTCATGAAGTTAAATTGTAATTGGTCACTTACCGTTTTCTTGGCAGCCTGCAGCATCCTGTTGACATCTTTGGATAAAACTTTCCTCTAAATAACTCTTGAATCGTATGGGTTCAATCAGACGACAACACTTCCGGTGACCAAGAGACGTGTGCACACCAGTCGTGTTAGGCACGTGCACGCTGCCTGCACTCACGGGAAAAAGGTGAGGATTTCCGAAGGATGCTGACGCGGGAAAGTTACAGGCGCGAAACTGAATGATTCATTGTCCTGTATTATTATTATTCCGAGAATGAAAGGTTTGAGACATATATCATTTTCCCTTTTTTTTCAATTTCCATGACTTCTACGATATGATTGTTCAAAAGCCAGAACAAAACTTGGAATGGATGTGTAAGTGATTCGGACATATTTTTATCTCTATCACTAACACACACATATATATATATATAGATATAAAGAAAACTGGGCTCGTTATTGGAGATACACAGATATTGTCTACTGGTAGGTGATACTACCCAAATTTCAAATTTTATAAGTAACATGCAGCGTCTATTGAAATGTGTAGAGGCAGGGACGTACATTGCATTGTATGTTTCTGGTAAGAAAATGCATATAAATGGCGTTTATTTCACATGAATTTGAAATGAATAGGCACTTTTTTAATTTTTTGGGTCATACTGTTGTGTGACATTGTAAATTGTGGATCTCATAAGATGGGATTACCATTACCTAGAAGTACTGTAAGACATTAGAAATAACACTATATTGTGATATCCTTACAATTGTTTCAACATCACATATAGGTTATTTGGGATCTGGTCAGTTGAAGAAGAGTTAAACAAATAAATGTTCACCATCTTTTCACACTATTTTTTACTTTAATGTAGATATGATTATAGTACAGCTAAAAAGATCGTTCATTCCATACCATCTCATACACTACTTACGACAGTGCTCCTACGCTCCACACTGATCATTTGTCTGAAATGTCACACTCTAATCTTCTACTGGTTGTGTTATAAGATGAAGGTGACCGTGTAGTAATCGAAACGTCACACTCTAATATTCTACTGGTTGTGTTTTAAGATGAAGGTGACCATATAGTCATTGAAATGTCACATTCTAATCTTCTACTGGTTGTGTTATAAGATGAAGATGTCCGTGTAGTAATCGAAATGTCACACTCTAATATTCTACTGGTTGTGTTTTAAGATGAAGGTGACCATGTAGTCATTGAAATGTCACATTCTAATCTTCTACTGGTTGTGTTATAAAATGAAGGTGACCGTGTAGTCATTGCGATGTCACACCCTAATCTTCAACTGGTTGTGTTATAAGATGAAGGTGACCTTGAAGTCATCGAAACATCACACCCTAATCTTCTACTGGTTGTGTGATAAGATGAAGGTGACCGTGTAGTCATCAAAATGTCACACTCTAATCTTCTACTGGTTGTGTTATAAGATGAAGGTGACCGTGTAGTCATCAAAACGTTGTACTCTAATCTTCTACTGGTTGTGTTATAAGATGAAGATGACCGTGTAGTCATCAAGACGTCACACTTTAATCTCCTACTGGTTGTGTTATAAGATGAAGGTGACCATGTAGTCAACAAGACGTCACACTTTAATCTCCTACTGGTTGTGTTACAGGGAAATTTCTCATTTTCTTCTTGGATTTTACGAGAAAGAAAACATAGCTTGTTAATTGATACCTGTAATTTAATTAAATTTCTAGTGAAACAGCTGCTTCAATATCATCTAAAGCAATTTATTTAAAATGGATCCTTTCCACTGAAACTTCAACTGAAAAATATTGTTTGTGATGTTGTTCAAACACAAAGACGAAAGTGTAATAAGAAAATAGGTTAAAACTCTTTGGAATAATTCATTTATAACCAAAAGCGCATGCTTGAAAGTATAACCAAATTGACTAAAGTACATTGTTACCATCTTGTGTATGTTTTGGTCAAAAATCTGTGTACCATATAATCACATTATTTTCTACCTTACTGTGCACTGAATTATTGTACAGCCAACAGAGTTTGTCGATTCCATACTCTCTCGTACACTAAGTCATAAAAAACATTTTATTATAAAGAGAAATACTTTATTATCATAATAATAAAATCTTGTGACTTGATACAAAATATTTTAATTTAGAACAAATAGCAATGCTAATTTGGGAATTTTAAAAATCATCAATATGTGCATTTAATATGTGAATTATAATTAAGGTAAGGAATTGTTGCTTCATAATAAAATTTACTTTTTTTTCTGGTTTTAAAACTTTTATTTTTTTCTATCCTTACACACACATATATATGTAGTTCTAGTATGATTTTTCACTTCAAATGAGATTTTTCAAAACTGAATCTTATAAGTTTTTCTTTTGTGAGAATTGGCAGGTAAAAATCAAATTTCACGACAAGTAACATAAAATCTCATGTAAAATGAAAACTTTATAACTCAGAAACGTTACATTTTCACAGATTTCATGGTCAAAATGTAGAGGGCAAAATCACACCAGAGACGGACCCAGAGACGGACATCTTGTTGCATCATTTCAATTCAGGATGTAAAATCATTTTTTTATACATGTATTATTACATCACAATCTCTGATTGGTAAAGAAAATTGCTCCTGGGTGTATGTAATAGACATATGCAATATTATTACCTGGGTGAATTCATTGGATAACAGGGGAATTATGTGATAAAAACGTGACTAAGGTACTGGAGTGACAACCTATTCTCCAATGTATGTAAAACTCATGTATATACCTATACTTATCATCCGTCTTTACATTGTGATCAAGATCACCAAATTAACCTGATTCATATTAGGTTGCTTTTTCACATCGGTAAACACATCACATGACATCCCATTTTGGTTTCACCAATTAAGTTAGCTGCTATGATAGATGATGAAGGAATACTGGACACAGAGTCCGGTCAAACTGATCTGGTTCATATAAATTATGTTTATTATGAAATTTGATACATGTGATATATAAATATTCAGTGGGCTTTGATAACACAATGTCTGTTTTATTTTATTAATACATGTATGAAAATTTACTCATGAAGAAATGGATCTAGCCTTCAAGGTCAAAGGGAAGTAACTCCTATAAATGAAGATGACTGGATTGTAGTGCAGGGAGCTTAGAAAGCCCAGTTTTAAAATGTCTAATCACAGTGACTGATTTTACTGCAGGTTGTGAGTATAGAGGTATAGAGGTAAACCATTATAGCAATGTAAACAAGACACCTCACAGTATCTTAGAGGAACACGGCCATGCCATACTCGTGACCACACTTCTTACAACCTCACAGTTCATGTCTTTGGTCCCACTGCATTAATACTTGTTCTGTTGGGTTGTACAAACTGAACATATATCCACATCTCATGTCCTGTGGTCAGTATACAATATTTCCTGGTCAGTACAAATCAGCTGACCACCTGCATAATCCCCTATCACAGTAGTATTTGGAATTTCCTTATAAGGTCAGGCTATCAACTTAAGCTGTCCAACTGCTTCTGTACCATCTCCAACTGTAGAGGAAAGAAACATTCAAATTAAAGTTTTATCTGTTTTACGTGTTTTTGTATGTTTATCTTTTTGTTTTATCTAACATTTCATTCCCTTCATGCTACTGTACTTAAGTCAATAATGAAAATTACCTTCATTCTTCAAACCTTCTATCAGAGAGTGTATATGTATATATGGAAGAAGAAAAATATAACCATGATTTGAATTTATTGTTGTGGTGGTCCCTGTGTACACACATGACATAATTATATATAATACATGTAGATACTAATCAAATCATTCTATAAGCAACTTATGAATTACCAAACAAAACACACAAACCTGGGTGTAAAACTGATAAAGTTCATCATGAGTAAACTCCATCTTTATCTTTTCTTGTTTCTGAAAATATAAGAAACATAGTATCATAGTTTGAGCAATGATCTTGTGACTCAGCAATGATCATGTGACTCAGCAATGATCGTGTGACTCAACACTAATCATGTGACTCAGCAATGATCATGTGACTCGGCACTAATCCTGTGAATCAACACTAATGTGAATCGGCAATGATTTTGATCAACTTAATGCCATATCAAGTATGTTGTAACTGCATTATTTCAATCAGTTTAGCTTCCCTTACCATCAAAAATTATTTACACTGTAACACAAAGAACTTTCCACATTGACCTTTTATCCTCTGAGCTTGACATATATTTGAACGATTTTTCTATTTATTTCATTAAACTTTTGATTTAAGTCAAATAAAACATTTCTCAGAGGCAACATTTCACTAGTTCATTATTTGCCATGAAATCTTTCGGTGACATATGATAAGTATTTCTGCTAAAACCTTTATCTACTCTTTTCACTTACATCTGTATTTTCATTTTTAACACCCAATTCAAACATGGCATTTGGCATTTTCATTTTTAATTGTGTTGACTGGGCCATTTGCAGATTGAGTCTCCAATTGATGTCTTCCAGCTTTAAAAAAAACAGAGGCATTACTTCGACTGCAAACCATATAATTTCCTATTTGATGGTATAATATTCTCTCTCCCCATCTGGCTAATTCAGTATCAATCCAAAATAAAAATCAATTAACACATCAAACAGAAATAAATCTAACACCAAGGTTTTTCCTTAAAGACAGTACACATTCAGTTTACATATATTGATGAGGGCCATGAAAAAAGTTTTTAATAAATATCTCCATTTTTTAAACTGACATGTGAAAAGAACACTTTTTGCTTACATTTTATATCACAAACAATCTCCTAACAAAAGAAGCAATTTCCTTTATACACTATAGCAAAAACGAAACAAAATCAACTTTAAACCTAAATTTAAGTTCTATTTCCAAAACAGACAATGTTACTTTTTCTCTCTACTCTCTTTACTTCACTATGTCAGTACATGATAAAGCAAAACATCTGATAGAAGTACATAATAAGGAACCAGTATCAGAGTCTTCCTTTAATTATAAAATAACTTATTGCCCTATCGTAAATCAAACACAATATACTGTTCTCTATTAACTGATGATTAATCTATAGACATTGATCGTGATGAATGACATGTGCATTCCTAATTAGGTGTAATTAGGTATCACATTGTTTAATAATGTTTCAAGATATCTTAAATCACTTACATTTTCAAATCATTACCAGGAAATGATTTCCTGACATTTTCCTGAAACCAGACACACCTCCCATGTGACTGTACACCTCCCATGTGACTGTACACCTCCCATGTGACTGTACACCTACCATGTGACCACACATCTACCATCTGACCACACACATGTATCTTGTGACCACACACCTAACACACACCTACCATGTGACTGTACACCTAACATGTGACCACACATCTACCATGTGACCACACACCTACTATCTGACCACACATCTAACATCTGACCACACACGTGTATCTTGTGACCACACACATAACACACACATACATATATTATGTGACCACACACCTAACACACACCTACCATGTGACTGTACACCTACCACACAAGTACATGTATCATGTGACCACACACCTACCACACAAGTACATGTATCATGTGACTGTACACCTACCACACAAGTACATGTAACATGTGACCACACACCTATCATGTGACCACACACCTACCATGTGACCACACACCTACCATCTGACCACACACCTATCATCTGACCACACACCTACCATCTGACCAAACATGTACATGTATCATGTGACCACCTGCCATATGACCACACACCTACCACATGACCAGGTTATAACTTCTAACTAAATTGACCATATATATATTATCTTGCAAAGACTTTGCATAAATGAAAAATTGGAAGTGTTTGTGCTATTTTGCATGGAAAATAACATGATAAGCTGTTGATAACAAAATATATCCTAATTATAACTGTCAGGATACAACTATACAAAGTACTTAATACACCTATCCATCACACAAATAGTGTCTCATCATTGTTAGGTACTTTCCAGCCTTCGCAGTACATAATGTTTAATGTATATATATATATGTCTATGTATATATATATGTCTATGTATATTTTAATCTTGATCACCATATAAAGACACCATCAGTCACATACACACCTGTACAGGTAAGTAAATATAATTTATACACAATCAGGTTAATAGAAAGCGGTCTCCAGTTTGTGTCACTTTTATGCAAATTAAACTTTATAATGTATTGATAATGAATAAATAAGTAACCTATGATACAGGTAAGTATAAAAATGGAAAACATGTAATAAATCAGACATCAATTATCATTATAACATTTGTTCCTTTGTAATAAATCTGGAAATTCAAATTTTTGACGGAACTAAAATGCCTCATTCAATTGTGGACCTATACATGTATTGGGTGTGTTTATGCCAAGTAACTTTATAAATACATCTGTTTTTAAAATGAAATACAAAAACATGGCACTTTTTTCTGCTTCAAACCTCAACCACTTGCCATAATATCTTTCAGAAACAGTCACACTGCCATGGATTAGAAGGCATCATGCTAGTATTTCCTTTAAAGGCTGTTAGTACTTAAGTAACAAGGGAGACAAATCTTACATGATATGTACAGTGTACATTATGGTCTGAACAAGAATATCAATATTAAACTTTGTCATATGACACAATTACTTAATAAGGGTCAAATCTTCTTGTGGGTTGCATGATGGAAGTACATAAGGTCAAGTTGTTCTGGGTTGGCATTTGTAGTTTTAGGGTGTAATACCTGTCTTGGATGTCTCCCCTGTTTGGGGATGTGATACCTGTGTTATCTCCCCTGTTTGGGGATGTGACACCTTGGATGTCTCCCCTGTTTTGGGGATGTGATACCTTGAATGTCTTCCCTATTTGGGGATGTGATACCTATGTTATATCCCCTGTTTGGGGATGTGATACCTGTGTTATCTCCCCTGTTTGGGGATGCGACACCTTGGATGTCTCCCGTGTTTTGGGGATGTGATACCTATGTTATATCCCCTGTTTGGGGATGTGATACCTTGGATGTCTCCCCTGTTTGAGGATGTGATACCTGTGTTATCTCCCCTGTTTGGGGATGTGATACCTTTGTTATCTCCCCTGTTTGGGGATGTGATACCTTGGATGTCTCCCTTGTTTTGGGTATGTGATACCTTGAATGTCTTCCCTATTTGGGGATGTGATACCTATGTTATATCTCCTGTTTAGGGATGTGATACCTGTGTTATCTCCCCTGTTTGGGGATGCGACACCTTGGATGTCTCCCGTGTTTTGGGGATGTGATACCTATGTTATATCCCCTGTTTGGGGATGTGATACCTTGGATGTCTCCCCTGTTTGAGGATGTGATACCTTTGTTATCTCCCCTGTTTGGGGATGTGATACCTTTGTTATCTCCCCTGTTTGGGGAGGTGATATCTAGGATGTCTCACCTGTTTAGGATGTAACAATTTCTTTTTTTATCCTTACCTGTTTGGGGTTGAGAGTTCGTTGTCTCAGCCTCTGAACCACCTCCCTTCCACTGCTTGTCCATGCCTCCACCACAGTTTTCACCTTAAGATATCAATTTTGAAAGCATTTTTACAGTTTTTACTTAACAATATAATTTACACAGAAGTGTGGTTTTCTTTAATGTATGTTGTTTCTCAGAAAAGAGAATTTACATCAGAGTTACTATTAACATTATTTTTCATAACTGATCAATCAGATACAACAATGTAATCCAAGATGTCACCTTGTCCTCATCCATGTCCAGCTGCTGTAGCTGTTGTGTAAACACTGCTGGTTTGGCTGCATGGTAGGCTGCCTATCAATACAAAATCAATATATATCTTATAATGTCTGAAATAATTATATAACATAATTATCTAATCCATTTATTTTAATTGTTAGTAGTTTATGCATGAAATGATGATACAGACTAACCTTGTCACTAAAACTGATGATTATTTTCTGATGTAAATGTTCCCTTCCTTTTCTTGTCAAGACACATACTTTGCTTTCAAGGGCAAGTTATATAATAGATATATACAATACAGCTCCTCATACATACCTGTTGCAAGAAAAACTCAAGAGTTTGAAGAACAAGTTCAAGGTCACCTGCTGTCAGTCCAAGGGCATCTTGTAGTTTGGATTCTTCGTCCTCACTAAATGTTCTGTCATCCTACAAATACATGACAAATGTAGAAAATACCATTACTAAGTGTGAACAACATCAAACAACTCACTTTAATATAAAAGAAAAAATTGTTGATATGATAACAAAATAAAGTTGTCAGCATGAATTGTACAAATACTATATTATAAATACACCAGTGTATCTACATGTAAAAACATGAGTTACAAACATCTATTGTTATTGCAACACAGGACTTAATATAAATGTACTGTTTAATCTCTAATATATTAGCACTTACCTTTAAATGGAGTTTTTGTGTGATTCTTGTCAGCAACAGTGGAAACTTGGAGCTTTCTAAAGCATTGATTGATGTCACAGCTCTCTTGATTCTGTAACACAATGTTTTTATATTTCAGTTGTATGTTGTGTAGCCTCTGCCTCTGAGTTTAAACATCTACATATGTACACACCATCCTTCAGGCACACCTGTATTAAAAGTTGGTTATAAACAAGGGTACTTTCTCACTTTACATAATCCTGAGTCAGTTGTTGTGGCTTGTCAATAGTGTTACAGTCTCCGTCACTCAATTGACGGAGTATCTTTCTTCGGCTCGGTTAGTAGAGTCATAGATTAGCATGCTGAAGGCTTGATTCCTGATGTCAGTTACACATGTTACAGTTTCAATTTTGTTACATGTACATAAACATACAGGGACATGCACACGTAACATCGCTACATGCCTCTGTCCATAAATGGGGCATGTTAAATGAAACAAAGACTGCATAGTGTACATGTGTTGGGAAGCTGGTGGGCAGTCTGACACAAGTCTCTTTCACATTACAAGAGTGCACATTGAAGCTCTAAGGCACCTTAGTAGAACTCTGAGTTACCTCCCTTCCCATTTGAGTTGCCTTTATCTTTGGATGGTCCTCAAACCTGAAGCAGTTCTCCATTCAAAAAATAGTCTTTGTCAACCAGCTCTTGAGAGAGGCTTGGTGAACAAGATTAGATATATTTCCGTTACAATGTAGATACAACAAACACTGTTACTTGATTACAGGCCACCTTACAAGCATCTGCTAGTGGGAATTTCCCTTTATTGCAGCTGTATCTGGCTAGAGATCAAAGGGTCGCTAGTTTAAACCTCAGCGATGACAGGATGCTTTTCATTACTCCTTTCTATTACCGATTTAGTGTCATTGACCACTCCAGGCAAAAGTAAAAAAAATGGCAGGATATGGCATGAGTCAGAAAGTTGTAAAATGGATAGGGGATTTTCTAAATAAAATATGCCGGTGTGTAAACAGAGAATCATCAAAAACATACCCTGTAATCAGTGGTATACCAAAGGAAAGTGTGCTTGGACCGGTTTCATTTGTAATATATATCAATGACCTCCCAGAAACACCAACTTCTTCACTGCCACTATTCGTTTGTGATACAAAATTATACAGGATATTGGTGTAACTATTGAGGAGGAATTAAATTTCAACACACATCTACATAATATTGTTAACAAGGCAAATAGTGTAGTTGGACTAATGAGAAGATTGTTTGTTTATCTTGATAAGTCAATGTTTGGATTATTATTCAAGGCCCCTGTTAGACCACACCATGAGTATGCAGTAAGTGTATGGAGCCTATCTAGAGTTACTGATATTGAATTGATCAAGAAAGTACAGAGGAGGGCTACAAAGCTAATCCCCAGACTTACGACCTTATCGTACCAGGAACATCTGAAAAGATTAAATCTCCCAATGCTTCATTCACAGAATCAGAAGGGATATCATAAATGATTTCAGAAATGTGAAACATATTTTTTTATTATAGAGTAACAGAAAACTTCTTTCAAAATGGACACCTAAAGACGAACGAGGTGTCATTCAGAGAAGATTTTTTTTAAATGTTGTAACCTGGATAGAAGGGATTTCTTTAGTCACAGAATAGTAGATATATGGAACAATTTACGGCAACATATCATCGATGCAGATAACGTTTACCATTTTGAAGTATTGCTTGATGAACACTGGAAAAATAATCATTGTAATGCTTAAATTCTAAGTTAACAGTTGGCACTACATATCGTTGATATGGATATAGAGGCTTTCAGCCTGCATCCATTTATTTTCCTAATAAATCATTATAAAGGCTAGAAGCTATGGAAGATTGAGATGTTTCTTTGGAGATGTCGAATCTGTTGTTGTCATCGGGGTAGAAGACTTTGTGAAGCACACATAGACTAGTAGTGAATTCCTGTTTGTACATCTTACAACTCCACTATTATGTACTACAGTGTACAAAGGGGGCGTGTCGCTGTATCATATGCGCACAGATGATGATTTTTCGATTTTACTTTTTCCAGCAGGTTATAAAGTGATCACAGTAGATATAGAAATACTTACTTAGAGAGAGATGACAACTATGAGAAACGTATAACACTTACGCCGGTGTCGCTGTGAACAACAGAGCCATCTTCGGGTCATATGCTTATTTATTTACAAGCGTTTTCGTGATAGAGAATTAATTTTCAATAGTAAATTTCTCGTTGTAAAATTTCATTGTATATGTAACATCGTAAATTATGCTCTTGAATACCTTTTCGAATTATAAAGCATTGATTTGTTTTATTTTAAATAAATGACAACCACAAATCATTTTTGTAATACATTCAATTATTTTTACCGTTCTAAGGGATATAATCTGGCTCTATTTGGCGTTTGTGTTGAAGAAAAAACATGTGAGCTGAAAGGAGAACAAGGGAAATTGTGAGTATGTTACAAAGTGACATCGAAATTGACAAAAAAAGGATTTTTTTAAAGAGTTTAGTCTTCATTTAGCGAAGATGGACCGGTTCTGACATCAATACGTAACTAACTGGTAACCATACACATCTGATTTTCAAATGTCTACTTTCAGTTTCCTAACCTAAAACTGTAAAAGTGAATTAACAACACGTACAATAATTGTTACAATATTAGACGGCATTATGTAACGTTGTGTACGTATACAAGACAATGTTCATGTATTCGTGTATGCGTACTGGAACACCAGCAGATCTGGTTAAATAGACAGATTTAGTTATGTAGTAAAATCTGACTATATGTATATAGGGCATATGTAAACAACTGACCCATACGTATACATTAACATGGAAAAATGGACGTTAAATCTAGTGAGTTGGTAAAACAAATTATTTTTGTGATATGACACTATTTACGTTGAGTTGGTTGAGTTTTGTCATTGCAATTTTGTTACTAAATAGCTGTCTTCTTTCTGATTTATACAGATCCAAATCTGTGACTATGTTTGGACAAGTTGTGATTGGTCCGCCAGGATCAGGGAAGACCACTTACTGTCTTGGCATGTCCGAGTTCCTCACCTCTCTTGGTAGGGAGGTGGCAGTCATCAATTTAGACCCAGCCAATGAGCACCTCCCTTATAAATGTGCTTTGGATATCGCAGACTTAGTGAAGTTAGAGGATGTGATGGAACTGTTAAAACTTGGACCAAATGGTGGACTGGTATACTGTATGGAGTATCTTGAAAAAAACATTGACTGGCTCAAAAAGGAACTGGAGAAAATTGGAAATAAGTACTTATTGTTTGATCTACCGGGACAAGTAGAGTTGTATACACACCATAACTCTGTGAGAAGCATTGTTACCCAACTACAGAAGTGGGACTACAGACTGGTGGCTGTCCACCTTGTTGATTCACATTACTGTAGTGATGCTTCCAAGTTTATCTCTGTGCTCTTAACCTCGCTGTCCACAATGTTACAGTTAGAACTACCTCATGTGAATGTTTTATCCAAGTGTGATCTCATAGAACAGTATGGCAAGCTTTCATTCAACCTGGACTTTTATACAGAAGTGCTTGATCTGTCATATTTGCTTGAGCAGTTCAAGGTAATCAAGATTTGTGATTTTCTTCGGACATTTATAAGGAATTCTCTTTTTAGATTATCAGCTATTCGGCCATTGCACTCCCTAAAACCTATTATCGCTGAATGGTCCCCATGCTATAGAGACAACCACCGAGACAAAGTTGTTCTTGACCGTCTTCAAATGGGCCATACATACCTTTCATATTCATATATGTTGAAAGGCGAAGATAACCCTTGGTACATATGATGTGATGAGCCATTCACCGTTAAACATTTTTGATGGGACTGCATTGACCTTCTGTCTTCTCAAGAAATGTTTTATTGTAAAGTTACAAGTCTAAAAAAAAGTTTTAAAACTGTTGAGATTTATAAAAAGCTAGGTTACCTGAAAGGTGTTGGTCTTTATTATAGGCTATGACTTACCATTTTTTGTGATAATATAACATTTAAGATTTTTAGCATTTGCCTTTTACCTTTTAGTTTGTCTGATGTTATTTCCTTTTTGGATCACCGTGTTTCACTGCATGATGGCCCTAATGACCATTTATGTGTTGACGGCCATTGAGATTGTAATGATAATGACAATAAAGTTATATGGCCAGATAAAAATTAATACATATATAGTATCTTGTTAACTTACAGTCGGAAAGAAATTAACTGCAGTTTAAATATAAATGTGACGGGTAGACTTTTGTTATTTCCTTCCTTCTTTGCTCAAGGCACCTGCTAGTATGCTATATAGAGATTTTATATGTTCAGAGTTGATAACTCTGTCAATGCTACTGACATAGCTGATATTTGAAGAAAAATACATATCACCCATTTCTAGGTCACGTATATAGTTGAATGCTCTTCTTCATGTTACAGCTACTTCAGCTAATTGAAGTACATGTATATTGCTTACTTTCGTGTTTCAGAAACATGGACAGTCACACTGTTTGTATTTATCTACAAAATAGAGTTTAATAAAGTTCAAGACCAGGAAGAATATTATTGTACTGTCTAAGGAATTGCATCCCAACTTAACTTCCAAAGTCTCCTAAAATTGTTTTCTCATCAGTATAAACAGTGCTGATATAATTTTTATTGGGAATCATTGCTGCATCTTGTGTTACAGGAAGATGAACAATTCCAAAAATACAAGAAGTTGAATTCAGCCCTGGTGGACATCATAGAGGAATACAGCCTTGTTTCCTTCGTCACACTTAATGTACAGGTACAGTAATGTACACATTTGTATATAATGTTCAAATCAATTGATGTAATGATGAAGACACACACTTAATGTACAGGTACAGTAATGTACACATTTGTATATAATGTTCAAATCAATTGATGTAGTGATGAAGACACACACTTGATGTACAGGTACAGTAATGTACACAGTTGTATGTAATATTCAAGTCAATTAATGTAGTGGTAAAGATAAACAAGTTCTGTACTTATATGCATCATATACAAGTATGGACCTGACTACAGTTAATTTCTGTGTGGAGGTTTAGATCTATCATATATAATTTCTGTGTGGTGGTTTCTACCTAACATATATAATTTCTGTGTGGGGTTTAAATCTAACATATGTAATTTCTGTGTGGTGGTTTAGATCTCACATATATAATTTCTGTAATTTCTGTGTGGTGGTTTAGATCTAACATATGTAATTTCTGTGTGGTGGTTTAGATCTAACATATGTTATTTCTGTGTGGAGGTTTAGATCTAACATATGTAATTTCTGTGTGGTGGTTTAGATCTAACATGTGTAATTTCTTTGTGGTGGTTTAGATCTAACATATATAATGTTGTTTACCTATTAGACTTAATATGCCAAAGAATAACATCAGCCTTGTATGTGTCTATCATAACCATAAGATTGAGAGTCATATTTGGCATATAGCATTTTGGAGTGAATTAAAGGTTGCCTGGAATTTTCAGATGTTTTAAATTCCCTTAACAACTTCTTAGAACATCCTATGAGGCCCAGAGTCATATGTTGTTACCTTAGTGATGGAAGAACTGTGAAAACAAAACTGATCAGTTCACATTTAATGATACCGGAAGAAAATTGGTTAGAATTTTTGAATTATATACAGCTACATGTAACGTCATGTCACACATATAGTTAGTATATACAGAGGAAGCATGATAAGTGACACATTTACATGTCAAGTAAACTCTGCATACCGTATATTTCCTGATAAACTATAAAGCCAATAAAAAGTATTTGATCTGTAGGATTAAATGGAGACTGCTGGGATTAAAGGTTGTCGGATTGAAGAAGGATTGATTGACTGTTGGTTGTTAATTTGTTGATTTACTAATTGATTGTTTTGTATGATTATTAAGTAATCATTTCTATAATTTGTATGATTATTAATTAATTGATAATTTCTAGGTTGATATAATTTGGTTTCTGGAATCTTTTATTTACTTATGATTCTTTGAGACTGATTCTTAGGTTGTTTAATCAGATTGTGATGTTACTGTTCTCAGGAAAAGGAGAGTATGTTACGAGTGATGAAGGTTGTGGACAAAGCCAATGGATATCTGTTTGGTGACCTTGAGGAACGTGACCTTCAGTCCCTCATGTCCTGTGCTGTTGGAGCCGAGTTTGAATATGAAAAGATCAAAGACGTTCGTGAAAAATACATGGATATGTCGAGTGACCCTACAGATGTGGTAGACGAAGAAATGGCGCCCTTGTAGTCTACGTTACATACCACACTTTTGACTGAAAATGTCCTGTCAATGGTTTATTATAAACTTTGACTGACACACCATATATATGAACTGGCTGGAATAAAGACTTTCTATGATGTGTTTAATTGTTTACATAAACCATCTACAAGAACCTAATCTGCCATATAGATGTAAATGTTGTGTTTCATTATGAAATTTGACAATAGTATCATCTGCCATCTATATGAACCGCCATTATTAGCCATGTCTTGTGTACAATGTAACATAGGACAACTGATATTGTCTTTCTGTATTTTTTCCTTATCAAGTATTACAGTCCTAGAGAGTTTTGAAATTGATCTAAATGACCCTCAAACTTCTTCATGTCATCAGATAACTCCTTTCATCTCACAGTGTTATTTATACTTGTATAGCCTGTCTTCAGCAATACTCTACCATGTCTACACCAATGTTTCTGCTATGTGATATAGGTATAGAGTTACAAGGAAATGTACTCCGATATCAAAAAAAAAGACTCATGCTAGAAGAAGACAGAGAAAAGCAATCTTTGGTAGATCTGAGGCTAAGAAATGTCCAGATATGTGTGTAGTTAGTATTGTGGTTTGAAAGAATCTCTGTAATCGTTTTTAATAATAATGATGATATAAAAAGTCATCGTTTTAACAGATTTATAATTTTTATTTTTGTGAATCCAAGTTCTTCATAGACCCATTTCATGTACATTGGTGGTTAATAATGGTTTGTAATATCTATAGGAGTTATTCCCCTTTATACAATAAATGTAATCTGGGATCTTGACATCTAGGATTATCAAAACGTGATTAGTAAAGAGGATTTAGATTATCGTTCCTGCAGAGAATAGTGCTAGAGTAAGATCATTTCTAACTATTGATGCCACAGAAAGCCGCTAAACACTTACTGCCATGTAAAAATGAGAGAGAAATTCACACCCAATCTACCACTGCACCGCTCCTATAATTTTGTAAGTGGCACCAGCTCTATATTTTGACAATTTTCTTTTCAGAATATTTTTTATTGTCATGATTTTACTGACAAAAGGAATTGAGCATTAGCCATAGCCTATAAAACCCCTCCTTTTATAAACAAATATACACATCAGTCAAATAAGGAGTGAGTTCAATGATGGATACTAATAGTTATAATGGTAATAATAACACTCAATGGCAGGGACAAGAATCAGTCCGAAAGTCAACTTGTATGGAAGGCAGCAAAGGTAAATTGTCTATACATATTCACTCTCCTTTGCTGAATCCATACATATTCACCCTCCTTTGTTGAATCCATATAAACGGATATGTAATAATGTTACGTTGTCGACAGAAAAATTCTGTTGTTGAATGTGACCTGGTGGTAGCGACTACCTGTCCAAGAAATGGAGTTCTCAGAACTTTCAGAGAGTAACTAATATAAATTGGAAAAAAAAAGAAGTGGCCATCGTTCAGAAATAACTTTTGGATGATTGACACGTATATCTTCAAATCCAAACATTGAAGATGTAAGACTAAATGCTGTACGGACGATGTAGAAGGACAGGGAGATGACGGTGAAAGACTAGAAAGGGTAATGACACCTGTTTAATTCACTAGCTACTTAACCCGATCTTACGTAACAACCGTACACCGCTTTATACATTATTACAGCATCTGATAAAACCTTGGTACAGTGAAATCCACAGATATCTTGCATGCCACAACACTGTCGATAGTTTGACCCTTTAGACTTGATGATAAATACAGTACCTATTAATAGAAATCTCATTTTGATTACCAATCGTATTCTTTGGAACATTTCCGGAACAAGCTTAAAACTTGTCGAGTTTTATTAATCGTTCGTGATGGTCGGATGACGCTGTGGTAACAACACTTTCGGCGAACATCTATTCGGGCAGGCAAGAGCGACTTGATCAGACTAAATCATGTAATGAAATTTAGAGACCTATTGCAGCCAACAGTGACAAACGTTTCTCCGAGACACTATCGTGTCACAGAACCTGATTGTATTTACTTAGGCGAGTTATCTCTCTTGTCATGCTTTAGGTAGGCCGTTTAGCAATGGAACCCAAAGATAAATACTGGTGGCCTGAAGGAGGTGGGTATACTAGAACCTGGAAAAATATACTGTAACTGGTGGGTGTACCAATACCAAAATCAATACCTGTGTGGTATACTACTAGAACCTGAACAGATACCCTGTATCCGATGTGGTATACTACTAGAACCAGAATAGATACTCTGTATCCTGTGTGGTATACTACTAGAACCAAAATAGATACCCTGTATCCTGTGTGGTATACTACTAGAACCTGAACAGATACCCTGTATCCTGTGTGGTATACTACTAGAACCAGAATAGATACCCTGTATCCTGTGTGGTATACTACTAGAACCAGAATAGATACCCTGTATCCTGTGTGGTATACTACTAGAACCAGAATAGATACCCTGTATCCGGTATGATATACCACTAGAACCAGAATAGATACCCTGTATCCTGTGTGGTATACTACTAGAACCAGAATAGATACCCTGTATCCTGTGTGGTATACTACTAGAACCAGAATAGATACCCTGTATCCTGTGTGGTATACTACTAGAACCAGAATAGATACCCTGTATCCTGTGTGGTATACTACTAGAACCAGAATAGATACTCTGTATCCTGTGTGGTATACTACTAGAACCAGAATAGATACCCTGTATCCTGTGTGGTATACTACTAGAACCAGAATAGATACCCTGTATCCGGTGTGGTATACTACTAGAACCAGAATAGATACCCTGTATCCTGTGTGGTATACTACTAGAACCAGAATAGATACCCTGTATCCTGTGTGGTATACTACTAGAACCAGAATAGATACCCTGTATCCTGTGTGGTATACTACTAGAACCAGAATAGATACCCTGTATCTGGTGTGGTATACTACTAGAACCAGAATAGATACCCTGTATCCTGTGTGGTATACTACTAGAACCAGAATAGATACCCTGTATCCGGTATGATATACCACTAGAACCAGAATAGATACCCTGTATCCTGTGTGGTATACTACTAGAACCAGAATAGATACCCTGTATCCTGTGTGGTATACTACTAGAACCAGAATAGATACCCTGTATCCTGTGTGGTATACTACTAGAACCAGAATAGATACCCTGTATCCTGTGTGGTATACTACTAGAACCAGAATAGATACTCTGTATCCTGTGTGGTATACTACTAGAACCAGAATAGATACCCTGTATCCTGTGTGGTATACTACTAGAACCAGAATAGATACCCTGTATCCGGTGTGGTATACTACTAGAACCAGAATAGATACCCTGTATCCTGTGTGGTATACTACTAGAACCAGAATAGATACCCTGTATCCGGTGTGGTATACTACTAGAACCAGAATAGATACCCTGTATCCTGTGTGGTATACTACTAGAACCAGAATAGATACCCTGTATCTGGTGTGGTATACTACTAGAACCAGAATAGATACACTGTATCCGGTATGATATACTTCTAGAACCAGAATAGATATCATGTATTCGATGTGATATACTAGAATTAAATAGATACTCTGTTTTCTGTTTATTACACAGAATATGTGTCAGGGAGTGGAGCCCTGCGTCCTGTTGGTTCCGTTAACCCTTGCCATCTATTACGGATTTTGTAGAAGGCGACTGTCATTGGACAGGCCCGTGTCGGTGACGAGCCAATTTCTTCCACACGCGAGTGTACAAGGGAACTGCATAAACTAACAATTTCTCCAAATTTGGGATCTCATCAATGGAATTGCACACAAAAGTGATTTAAGCATTTGTGATATCGTTGTAATGTGGGGTTGTCATGAAACAATATGGGAAGTTATCCGGCGGGAGCTGGCCGTTCTGTTCCACTATCCATTGTTCATTTCGTCCGATGATTTACATAATTTTTCACTTGACATCTGATGTATCGAGGCAATTATCAAGAAATTTGCGGCTCTGAGCCGACTCCCGAGGGTCCGTTGATCGTTATGCCACATCAGTATGGGCCCTAGATAGTCCGCCACGTCCTCCATTGGGCGACCGTGATAAAATAATATCTTACAATGAAAGCTGTATCTGTCGGCCTTGGCGGAACCCATTACGCGAGCCAGCAGAAGTCGGGCCGTCATTACGTTTTCACACCTCCCCCCGCTCACAAAACTCGCGTTATAATGCCGATTTTTCACCATCAGATTCTGCCGACATTTTATTTCCAATAGTTTCCGCCGATCGTTGTCACTGAAATATCAATGACTGCCGCTGACTTTGATTCAGGGAGTTGTATTCCAGTTCACACCTCATCTCTTGCGCGAAATAAGTCGGACGTTCTGATTCTAAAAAAAAGGGAAAGGGGGTTTATTCTGTAGATCTTTGTCAGTATTTAATAGCAATTCTAAAGACTGTTTTCCTGGTGCTTGCTTTGATCAAATTGTCAACATAAAGGCTACTTATTACCCCGCTCATTTATATCAGCCTTAATGCTATCTACGCCTAGCCTTGGTTTTGATTGCGTAAAATACCAAATTGCTTCCTTATAAAGTCGTCCTTTATTAATCAAGATTTTGCCGATATTCGCTTTTATTTGTAATACGGTTGCAGTTCTATTGAAATATCTGGCTACCAACCGCTTTACACTCAGTCACGTCTTCAAATGCTCCAGATTCACGTTAATTTTACTTCAGTTATATGTAAGTTTTACTGGGCCAGTTACTAAGATCTAGTACGTTTTATATCCTCGATGCTCCAGTCAGCCCGGCGATGAATCACTCCAAACATTGCAGAACAAACAATACATAGCTGTGCTCAGGACTACCATGGGTGTGTTATCTGTCCAACATCCGTAACTTCACCCTGTCAGAGTTGTCTCCCGTCCGCCTATTCGGTTTAATGATGTTAAGGATAGGGATAATACTCTATACGACACTTAAAAATATCAAAATCCGGATCATATTAACACATCTTTTTGTTTATAACCTTACCTACATTGTATATAAGCTTACCTACATTGTATATAACTTTACCTACATTGTATATAATCTGACCTACATTGTATATAACTTTACCCACATTATATGTAATTTTACCTACATTGTATATAATTTTACCTACATTGTATAAAATCTTATCTACATATATATATATATATATATATATAAAATCTTACCTACATTGTATATCAATTTACCTACATTGTGTATAATTTTACCTACATTATGTATAATTGTACCTACATAATACCTTTACCTACATTGTATATAATTTTACCTATATTATGTATAATTTTACCTACATTATACCTTTACCTACATTGTATGTAATTTGACCTACAATGTATATTTTGTATATAATCTTACTTACATTGTATATAACTTTACCTACATTGTATATACTTTACCTACATTGTATATACTTTACCTGCATTGTATATAATTTTATCTACATTGTATATAATCTGACCTACATTGTATATAATCTGACCTACATTGTATATACTTTACCTACATTGTATATAATTTTACCTACATTGTATATAATCTGACCTACATTGTATATAACTTTACCCACATTATATGTAATTTTACCTACATTGTATATAATTTTACTTACATTGTATATAACTTTACCTA